GTGTGTGTGTGTGTGTGTGTGTGTGTGTGTGTGTGTGTGTGTAGGATAGAACTGATGAATAATTTAGAATTAATAGGTTCCTATGTTGATACCCATTGCCGTAGCATCTCAGTGCTTTACAGTCATGCATTAGGGCTAATAAAGAAACTCCAGTTTTTATCTGTAGTCAGTGGGAAGGTTAGGGTTTGCATATCAAGCTGTTGGAAGAGAAGTCATGCTTACTCTTTGATCTATTGGGGGCGAAGACTAGATAAAAAGTAGGTTTGTCCGTAGTGTCTGTATCAGCTGTACCTGATTCTGGATAATCTTAAAACCCTTAAGCAGGAATGAAAAGCTTTCAGCTGATAAAAGGACAGGTAGAGTTGTTGTTATTAATAAAAGCAGGAAGGTTTTGTCTTACATTGTAAAATATTAGTGCTGCTTGGAATTATTTTTTCAAGCCACTAGGGAAATCTGTATCAGCTAAACTTTTTGTCTGTATTTTCTGGGGCTTACCAGAACAGAAAAGATCTTGAGGCTCACCACACCAACAATCCATGAGTCAGTGAAGGGCTGTAAGTACTCTCATGTATGTAGATTACTTGGAACCTGAGGTTGGTACAAGTTTTTACGTACAACTTCCCCTCTTCCATCGTGCGTTGCAGATGTTCGTTTGCATTCTGCTTTTACCATCTGGATAGATCTGTCAAATCAGTGGGAATTTGTACATGTTAAACATAAGAACTGCTATACTGGGTCAGTCAAAATCTAGCCAGTATCCTGTCTTTCACAGGAAAGGAAGGAAATCTTAGGAAGATTCTAAGAAATGGGGCATGTGTAGAGTGATCCAGCCCAGCCCCTGCTTTATCCTCCCAGTTGCCAGCCACCATAAGGTTAGGAATACTCTCAGCTTGTGGGAACAAATGATTGGAATGCAGATTTAATGTGTGGATAAGAGGACTTTGCTGTGAGGTTTGGCTTCTACTCCTATTTCAGTCAATAGCCCCACATTAAAAAAAATGACCTACTGGTTTGAGCTGCCCAGATTTTGGGGTGCCTGTTTTGAGACATATTAGGCTGATTTTTATAACGCTGTTCAATTGTGGTTGGACTTATTTGTACTCAGAACCTCTAAAATACCTGACATAAGGTGCTACCCCAAAATTACAGGCCAGTTTTTTTTAAATATTAGTCCAAGAGTCTACTCCTTAGCTTGAATGGGAACATGCTTTGAGCAGGGGGCTGAATTATATGACCTCTCGAGGTCCCTTCCAACCCTCACTTTCTATGATTCTGTGATTCTAGGTGCAAGTGCAGGGCCCATTTCTGCTGTTTCCTATTGAAACCTTCTGCTGTGAGCCTATTCTTTTGTTTATCTTTTTTATTCCCTATTAAGGTGCCTATTCACTTTCTGAAGTGGGGAAAAAAGACAGCAGAAGTAATGCTGAAAGAAATGATAATTTGTAGCCCATATTCTGCCCTGCAAGAGTGAGGAAGCTCTATTTCCTCCTTGTGTTTGTTTTGGA